CACTGAGTGCTACATCAAGTCGTTTCCTGGACATCTCCAGGCAAGGGGACTCCACCACCTCTCTGGGCAGCTCCTTCCAATGCCTGACCACCCTTTCAGTGAAGAAATTCCTCCTGATGTCCAACCTGAACTTCCTCTGGCACAGCTTGAGGCCGTTTCCTCTTGTCCTGTCGCTGGTTGTTTGGGAGAAGAGGATGACCCTCACCTGTCTACAACCTCCTTTCAGGCAATTGTAGACAGCAAGAAGGTCTCCCCTGAAATTCTCTGACCAAGAATCAAACCCAGGCCGTGGCAGCGAGAGTGCCAAATCCTGACCACTGGGCACAGATTGTCAGATGCAATCAAAGCCATAGGGTCAGGACCACTAATCTTAAAGCACTGTTTGATGGAAAAAGATGGGTCAAATTTCAATATCCCAGTGGCCCCCCCAGCCCTGAGCTGGATCATCCTTTAGGTGCTGCAATGAAGGGAAAAGCACTGCTGATACTGTACTCCATATGAAAATGGGTTTGGCTGCAGGTTGTGGTCATACAGCAGGGGACTTGTGCAGGACATTGGGCAAAGCTGGGATCCTGCACATCAGCAACCAGGAATGCACAGAGGGGCTGACTGCTGTTGATGGGCGTTCTGTCAAACTGAGGAAGGGTGGGGAGAAGACTCATGTGCAGTCCACTTCACTGCTTGGCCCTTGCCTGTGTGAATGGGATTGTTCCTGTAACAGACTGGGGAAAAAAAAAAAAAAAAAGAAAGAAGGAAGAAGGGGCTGGAGACTTTGGCCCAGCACCACATTCCAGCACATTGGCTTATGGGCTCTTTAATTTCTTTTTTTTTTTTTTTTCTTTTTCCCCTGTTTCAGTTTTGCCTTGTCAGGTTTAATCGGTAGTGTTTGTAATTCAGGTAGCAAATTGATTTTTGAAAGTACTCTGTCCCTATTCAGTCCACGTTACCGTGGATCCTGCATTAATTATGCACTGATATTGATGTTTTTGTCAGACAAGGTTCTAGTGTCACTATATTCAGAACTTGCTTCTTCCTTGTTAAAAATGTCTCAGAATGTGGCCTTGGGAAAGATACTGTGTGTCACTCTCAGGATCAAAGATAACCTGGCAAGGAAATACTCTATTAGTACTGCAATTCATGTACCTTTTCTCCCTGCTCTTCCATCTTTCTCAGAAGGCAAAGGTTGGTGAAGAGAGAGCGGGACTGGAGGATCCTCCAAGGAGAATTGAGCTGTCAGCACTGCTTAAGCTAATAGGAAGGGACAACAGTTTTGGGATGCACACTGTAAATGGAGACAAGTAAAAGCAGTAGTTCACACTTTGTGGTCTGTGTCACTGCTGACCTGGCTGCAAAGCCACCTTCCATTGTGTTGGGAGGCATCGGGATTCCTGTCCAAGGGGCATCACAGGGAAGAACTAGGCAGTGCTCCTGGAAACCATCTGGGATTTGGTGTGCATCCCAAACTCAGTCAACAATCTGATGTCCTTTGGGGGGAGAGGGGAAATAATTTAAAAAAAAAAAAAAAAAAAAAGAAAAAAAAGAAAAAGGGAGGAGCCATATCTCATTTTAGAATAGCATTAACGAGAGTGTCATCTGAAAGGCACAGGAGGTAATTATTCCACTCTATTTGCTACTGGTCAGATCTCAGCTGGAATATTGTGCACACTTCTGGGCACCAACCCACAAGAAGGATGTAGACAAGCTGGAATGAGTCCAGCAGAGAACAACAAGAATGATTAGA